AGTGCCAACGTGGCTTCGGATAGTCCAAAATGACGTCCAACATGGTACCATCTAGTCCAAGGTGGATCACAGTGGCGTCCAGCATCTCCCCGAAAGGCTCGAAAACTTCCCAAAAACGGTTCCAAGTAGACACGGGGCTTCTAACGGATACCACCGAGAGGCCAAACTCTTTCAAAAACTAATGACTCGTCAGTGATGTTCGCCTTCCCACCATTTCGCTTCCAATGGGCATCTGAGGCCTACTGATGGCGCCAAGAACGCCCAAAAGCCCCAAGAGGGGCCAGAAAGAATTTCAAGACGACCCCAAGAGCACGCAATAGCGTCTCCAGAGGGCTACAAGATGCGATCCTTCGGGCTCCGACGGGGGGACCTCAATCGAGAACAACCCCGTGTATAACCAAAAGTCCGACTACCCCGTCGGCGTGTGTGAGGGGATGACGCTCCCGTCCAGCTGTGCGGACTGTGAGCCTCCCAAGGCCCCTCCCGAAGGCAAGTGTCGTTCAAAACCACGGTGTGCTCATAGATTGCCCGTGTTCTTGCCATTTCGCTCCCGACAGCATCTGAACCTGCCAGATGGCTCCAAGGCGCTCCAAGACGGCACAACAGAGCTTCAGAGGTGATCATTCGGTCTTCGAAGGGCCAAGTCTGATTCAGAACCCTCCTTGTCCTAAGGTGGGCGGACGAAAAAGTGCAGTTGTTCGTGGACGCATGCGGCTGCACATGGACTGCGACAAGATCTCGACGCCATCCCCCCTGCCCCCTACATGTCAATGTTGGCGTCGGTGAGGCACCCCGCGTCCCGGAGGACAAAATTACGCAAGCCAACACTGAAATGCGAGAGTGAGGGCTCCTCAGAGATCGAGAGAATCTGATTCAAATCAAAAACTTGCAAAATTTTGTCCACCGACTGCGTTTGTTATCCCCCGGCAGGGCGAGTTCTGCCTTGGAGGTTGAACGGTGCGGAGGGGTTTGGGGGCAGGCGGAGCGAAGCATCGTAACTGTTGCGCCCTCAAAATCGTGAACCCTTCCAAAACACCATTACTGGTACGCTGATCATGGGAACCCGTTGAACTCTTGCATTGTTTGACGAATGTGCGCCGCGCACAGGCGAGAGCGACATTTCAAGAAGGAGCCGCCCTCAATCCGTGAAACTCTTGCAAATTTTGAAAATGAATGTGCGCGGTGCTAAAGCGAGAGCCACATTTCGAACACGACCCGCCCTCAATCCGTGAAACTCTTGCAAATTTTGAAAACGAATGTGCGCGGCGCTAAGGCGAGAGCCACATTTTGAAAACGACCCGCCTGACGGGGGAACCCTGATGGAATCAATATAAAGAAGCACTATCCGCGGCCATATGGCCTGGCTTTACGGGGGGGGGGCATGGGCGAACTGACGTTGTGCTGCTCTGCGCCACCAGGCGTTAAAAACTCAAGGCCACAGGCAATTTGAAAAATACGATCGGCAAATCATGTTCGCATCCAGAAGTTCTTGATTTGTATAACTCTTTAAACGTGAAAATGATTTGCCTGTAGTGATTGTTTTCAATTTGCTTTCAGTTTGCCTTTAATGTGTCTTGAGATTGCCTTTAGATTGCCTGCAGCTTGCCTCCATCCCTCGACCCCCAGGTACATCTGGGATAGGCCTACAGTGAATCTTGTATAGGAGTAGGACTACGTGTGCCTAGTGAACGCCTAGGTACGCGTAGGACAAGCCCAGGTTGGCCCAGGTGGGGCGGCCTAGGCCAAGGGCCGGCCTGGATAGGCCTAGGCTCAGGGTGCGTTTCAGTATGCCGCGGGTTGGCCTGGGTTGGGGCGATGTCGGCTCAGAGGCGTAACCCGAGGTACGGGGCCGCCTTGTTGGCTGGCCTCGCGGGTTTGTCGTTGGCTGCCCTGTTGGCTACCTCGTTGGCTGCTGTGTTTGCTGTTGTGTTTGCCGCCTAGTTCGCTGCCTTGCTGGCTGCCTGGCGGCTGCCTGACAGCCTGCGTGGTCGGCTGCCTCGTTGGCTGCCTCGTTGGGTGTTTCGTTGGCTGCCGCGTTTGTTGGCCTGTTGGCTGCCTCGCTGGCTGCTGTGCTTGCCGCCTCGTCCTCAGCCTTGCGGGCTGCACGGTAGCTGCCTGGGTGCCTGTGCGGTCGGCTGCCTCATTCGGTGCCTCGCTGGCCGCCTTGTTGGCTGGTTCTGCGGGCGCGTCGTTGGCTGCCCTTTTGGCTGCTTCGTTGGCTGCTGTGTTTGCCGCCTTGTTGGCTACTTTCCCGGCTGCCTGGTGGCTGCCTGTCTGTCTGCGTGGTCTGCCGCCTCGTTGGCTACCTCGTTGGCTGACGCTTTGGCTGGCCCTGCAGGCGCGGCGTTGGCTGCCCTGTTTGCAGCCTCGTCGGCTGCTGCGTTTTTCGCCTTCTTCTCTGCCTTGCGAGCTGCCTGGCGGCTGTCTGGAGACACTTGTTCGTCGGCGGCGAGGCGGCGAGAATCCGCTCCAGCGACATGGCTAAGCAGGGGCACTACGAAGATGATTGCTCAGCGTGAAAGGAGGAGGGGAGAGGCCCAAAAGGAAAAGAAATTAACACTCACAGGCTGAAGATTTCCACCGTGAGCGGCCAGGGGAGGAGCAGCACCAGCTGTCTGTAGACACAGACAACAGGCGATACGTCGCACAGGAAGCCTCATATCGTTTCTGGGCGGTCTGGTGAGGATACGCGAAGCGACAAGAACTGAACGCGCACATCTCCCCGCCAGCAAAGACCTTCGAACCTACTCTGCAATGCTTTCCGCCGTCGTCCTCTTCAGTATCCCTAATTCGCGGGGGAAACATCTGACGCTATTTGATGTGAGTCCTGAGCGGGAGTGACGACTGGCAGTGCTGAACTGTGACAGCATGCTCAGCATGCTATCGAGGCGCACGCAATGCGGGACAATCCCAGAAGACGCAGCCGCCTTCCCCTAGGACAAAACAAAGGAAATGTGTTGCATCCTTGGCACTCCACCGCACATCTTCGTCGCCACGGACGCATCGTTCACAACCCGTCGGCTGTCTGGTACGGAAAGAGATGCAGGCTGATGATCAGCATGATTACCAGATGTCTGCATTGCCCGAGTCACTTAAAACCGTGTTTCTCCATCGGTGGGCGGACGGAAAAATGCAAGTCGTTCGTGGACGCATGCGGCTGCACATGGACTGCGACAAGATCTCGACGCCACCCCCCCTGCCCCCATACATGTCAATGTTGACGTCGGTGAGGCACCCCCCGTCCCGCAGGATACGATTCTGCAAGTCAACATTGAAATGCGGGGGTGAGGGGGCTCCTCAGAGATCGAGTGAATCTGATCCAAATCAGCACGCTGCTTCCCAGAGCGTTCAAAAAACTTGCAATGTGTTGTCCACCGACTGTAACTCTGTCCACCTCGATGCCCCCAGAAGGAAGCCCCCTTCCTGAGGGGCTTCAAGAGATTTACAAGAGGTCCCCAGAAATTCGCAAAACGGCTGCAAGAGATTCCAAAAATGGCTCCATTAAGCCTCCAGGAGGCTTCCACAGCGAAAGATCCGTGCATGCCTTCATGGTTCACTCCTGTCGTCGTCGTCGACGTCGCCTTTTTGAACCCGTGGACTCCTCGGATCCGTCGAGGCCTTCTTGGGGCCTCCCTCCTGATCCCCCTCTAGGGTCGGCGAAACTGGCCGTCAGGCCAAGTGTTTGAATGATGTTGGCCTCTCGGCGGCATCCCTGAGAGGCGTTTGGCCCAAGATTGCTCAAAGATGGCCTCTGGTCTCCAAGATGGCGCACTACGGTCCAAGTTGCCTCAAGATCGCCTCCAGCATGCCTCCAAGAGGCCCAAGGATCAAGACGGCTACAAGTGGCCTCGGGGCCTCTCACAGATGACACAGAGATGCCCGAATCGATTTAACGCCTGAGGTTGTTCAATGCGCTGTCGCAGTATCGCTTCCGCTGGGCCTCCAAGGCCTCAAGATGTCCCCAAGATCGCCCACAGGATCCCCAAGAGGGGCCCAGAAGAGGTCCAAGACGGCCCCGAAGGCCCCCAAGAACGCTCCAGAACCGTCCCACAAGTCTCCAAGAGGCGATGTGCTGGGCTGAATCACGCCACTTTGCGTGCCATGCGATCCTGTTGGCCCAAGGTGGTCTCCGACATCCTAAAGTGGCCTCCGAAATGGCACAAGAGGCTCCAAGTCAGCTCACGATGGCGCCCATCACGCCTCCAGGAGGCTCCTAAACGACCCCAAGACGGCGCCAATTGGCCACGGAACCTCCCAGGGGCGCCTCCAAGTTGCCAACACAGTTGAAAAACATCAGGGCGCTCACTGTTACTTCTGATCGACTTCTGTGGCCTCAAGATGGCTCCATGATCGCAATGGTGACCCCAGGAGCACCCAAGAGAGCCCCAACAGAAGCCGATGAAAACTACAAGACGGCCCCCAAAGCGGTCCGAGAGGGCTCCAAGAGACCAGTTCTCGAACTCCTGAGGGGCACTGCTAATGGGCGCCGCTCCTGTTGTGGCCGATGTGTTTCAAGATTGCCCCAATGGGGCCACCCGAGGCCTTTGAGATGAGCCTAAGATTGCCCATAAAGCATCGCACCCAACGATGCCCCCAATAATAATTCAAGAGGCTCTCAAATCGAAGAATTCGCGACGGCGTGTATGGTTCCGGCTGGTCCCGAGCTTCGGTTTGACGGTCGTTCCGCTCTTTGTTATACTACTTGTTCCTACGATTTTCAGGTTACAAAAACTCGCCTGGGTACCGCGCCTGGGTGCACTAATGTGGAAACGTGAAGCGCGAACAACTTCTGCAAATGTCTCCGACCGCGTGCACGTCGTAAAGCTGAGTGGCCTCTGGCTGCGCCTTGGCTCTCTAAAGCCCAAAGCTGACAAACATGCATTCAGAGTGCCTTTCGCATCTTGAGGCGGGCTTGGAGCAAGCTTGCCACGCGGAGGATCAGCTGAAGGGACAGGATAATGAAGAGAAGCAGGGAACCAGAAACAGAAGGCGCGGAGTTCCTGGCAGGCGGCGCAGTAACCATGCATGGCGCCATCGACCAGCTTGTTTACCAGCTGGGGGTAGCCGGCTCTTTTCTTTGCCTCTCACTATCTCTATATATTTATATGTGTGAATCGCTGAATATACACATGTGAACCCATGATCTAAACTGTGTATAGCCCGGTATGCATAGATAAATACATGCATACATGAGTGTTTAAACATACATACACACATACATATGCATATACATATATATATATATATATATATATATATATATATACATACCCATACACATACACATATACACATACATATAAATATACACATACATATACATATACATAACCATATACAGATACATATACATATACATATACACAAACATATGCCTATACACTTGCCTATACGAATACATAGACGTATGCACATACACATGCACAAGCATACATACGTATACATAAACATATATATATATATATCAGCATAAACATATACATGCGCAGCTACATGTGTCAAATACATATGCACATACGTCTACATATGGGTATACATCTGCATCTGAAAATTTACATACACATATGCAATTGCATATGCATGTACAGTTACATGTAGATGAACATATACAAATACAAATTCATAGTCGGATACATATTTATATGTATGTAGATGTACAAATTGTATGTTTATGAACATGTCGGTATACATATAAACATACGTTCACCTATACATATGCATACACAGTTCCTTGCATATACATGCATATGCCTAAACATAAACATGATAACACATGTTTTCAAGCGTATATAAACACCAATGTACCTATACGTAAACATATACATATAAATATACAGTACAACACAAATACACATATACATATACTGTTTATTTTATAGTTGAATACACACATGCATATACATATAGTTGTACATATACAAATACATATAAGACAAGCATGTACGTATACATATATAGACATATACATATGCTAGAAGGCGGTTCCCAAAATCTGCGTCTCATTGTCGCAAACTGAAGCGACTTTGTGATATTCAACAAACGGGCCTTAGTGGAATCCTCGACAAAGGGGATCCTTCTGTAGCCCTTCACAAAAAATCGTTTTGAACTCCTCCGCAAAACATAAGAAGGATTCATGTTGTGATCCTCATCAAAAGCGATCCTTTTGTAACCCTCTACACAACGAGTATTTCTCGATCTCCCCCAAATAAGAAGTCCTTCGTGAAAAAAATGCTCTTGTTATAAAGCCTGACTTAAGGACTCCTCATGTAGAGGATAACTGTCGTATTTTCTGTTGCGAATGAGATTAGGACTTTTTCTTGTGGCGGGTGACAATAGAATTCCTTTTTGTCGAGGATTACAACAAGGTTCCTTCTGTTGATAATTATAACTGGATTCGTTACGTGGAAAGCTGCAAGAACATTCTTCCTTTGTGGAAGATTATGAATGGATTCCTTTTAGGGGGGCCGCGCCAGGAAGGCCTCTGAGACGTCTCCGCTGACCCCCCTGATCGCCCCAGGTGTGCTGGGAAGGCTTGGCAAAACGCCCTGCGAGGCCCGGGGGGCCGCTTCGAGGCCCGTCCGGAGAGTCCCAAAGACCCAGATCCCGGGAGTCTGGTTTTGGGGGGGGGCGGGATTCCCCCCCCGCCCAGCATTATAAAAATATAGAATGAGGAATACGTATACGTATACATGTACATATACATATATCCATATGTAAATTCATATGCATATAAACATATACATCTACATATGCATATGCATATGCATATGCATAACCATATACAAACATAGATCCATATACATATACATACACATACATCTATACAAATACATATACACACGCATAAAACATACAAATGTGTATACATATATACATATATACAAGCGGCATGTATGTGCCCAGGTTCAGACAATTACTCCGACGGAAAAACCCCACATGATAATCCGTTTAGCTTGCCCTTACCCTTTTCTTCCTCGCCCTGACAGACACTCTCCTCTCGCCCGGTCCCTGGGTGCGTGGCTGAAGTGGGGTTCCGCGGTGCGGATTGTTGTTGCTGCGTTGCGCTGCGTCGTTTGTTGTCCTCACACCCGCAACCTGGCCCGCAACACGGCCCGCGACCCACACGCGGCCCAACCGCGACCCACCCGCGACCCACCCGCGACCCACCCGCGACCCACCCGCGACCCACCTCGCGACACACCCGCGACACACCCGCGACCCACCCGCGACCCACCTGCAACCCGCGACCCACCCGCGACCCACGCGCGACACAACTCGCGACCCACCTACGACCCCCCCCCCGACCCACCCCACGGCCCACCCGAGATCCACCTGCAAACCCGCTTGCTTTGCTCGGCACCTGCGGCAGGATCGTTGCATAATTTGTTCGAAAAAATCGGCGCTTGCGGCAGGCTGCCTTTAGAGCCTTGCAGACTGCCGACGACCCCGCCGCCCCCTCACTCGTATTGACAACTGCGAGGTGCTACATCTATGTATCTG